TTTTTTTTTTGCTTTTCTGGGAGATTCTTGCAGTACTCCACTGGGTGGCAATAACAGAAGGGGGAAATGGTGTAGAGACACCACACACTACTATGTGCTGTCGTCGCAGCTCCTCGTTTCGTTTCTTCCCGTTGTCTGTTTGTCTAAAGTTCTTCTTGCCAGTTTGTTTATTGTAACATGCCGTTTTTTTTTGTTCTTCTTTCTTTCGTTCCCTCTTTTAGTACCACAGCGAGAGCACCGCAGATTCAATGTTGTGTGGCTGATGTGTGGATGCAGGACACGTGCTCTTTGCCCGTTCTATTCTTCGCTGACCCGCTCGATTGTGCCTGTTCCCCCTCCACTCTCACATCTGCCTGACGCGCCTGACACTGTTGCTGCTTCTGCTGCTGCGCGACCGCCCCTGTTGCGCGACAACGCCACCCCGTAGTAGTGGGCCGACCGCGCACGGCCATACAACAGCACAGCAGGAAAGGAGCGAAAAATCCAAAAAGAAGGCAGCCAGAACTGAACAAATGAAATCAAAGGAGAGCGAATGACGTTCATCGCTGCCTGCCCCGTGCTTGCCTGTAAGGAATACGCCCCTGCTGTCGACGTGGAAGAACAAGTGACAGCGCAAATACACACACACACATACATATACACACACATATATATATATATAAATAAATATGTATATGGAATCAGATGTGAAAGAAGAAAGCGGGAGAACCCAAAGCCCAGGAAAACGCTATTGATGCACAAGAATACAGCCAAACACACCAGAACACACAGGAACACGGAGGCAAAACGGGATGAAAACGTCAGGCGTACAGAACAAAAAACAAACAACAGAAGGGAAAAAAAAAACAGGAAAAGTCAATAAAGAGTGGCCGATATTGGTGTCTAGACGTCGTGCCTCTCTGTAGTGGAAAAAAAAAAAAGAATAGAGACACACCGCACCCGCCTTGTCGCAACTCATGTTTCGGCGTTTTTGGACCATTGTCCCTCTTCCTCTTTCACGATTGTGGTGGTGCATCCCTGTTTGTCCATTCCCCCACATGACGTCTCCAGCCACGGGCCCAACCGTGCGGTGACACATGGCGGGTTTTGATTACAAACAGGAGTGCACCACACATACAAACCGCGTTGGGGATACTATGAGGGCACTTGGGGGAACTGTGGCCATTCTCGGATTCTATTTTCCCTTTTCGTTTGCGTTCTTACTTCTGTATGTGTATGTGCTGACTTGTCTCACATTTCATTCTTGCGTGTTGCCGGCTCCCACCACCATACCCTCAGTCTTCTCCACGCAAAGAGGAGGAAGTGGCGCGATGTCACACACCGCAACGTCGCGGATATCTCATCAACTACTCATTTTCTTCTTCTCCATTCACATGTCTCCCTCCTCTATAGGTAGAGGGGTGTCTTAACATTCTTTCTGGGGGCGGGTAATATCAGCCCTTGTGACTCACTCCGCCGGTTCCCCGTACCATTGGAGTCGCCGTTGTTTTTCCCCGCCTTGCCCCCCGGCGGTGCACTCCTCGGTACCCGAGGGAACGACAGCATCGGCAGCACCGTCTGCGTGCCACTTGGCGGGAGCGGCACAATTTTCGCCACGACCTTCTTGGGTGTGTGGATGGTCAGTGTACACGGGCAGTCACCCGTCACAGGCTTGTTCGGGCATCCCATCAAAACGGTGTAACGACCATGTGCATGAAGCTGAACCACCAGGGAGTGCTCCCGCGCACTGGTTGCGTCACCTGTCGTTGCGAGGCGAAGCATGTTCTCGTCGTATAGCATCATCATCACATCATCTTCTGCAAGAACATCACCTTTCTTTGTGGATGCCGGATCCGTGATTTTATTTTGCCGGAGCAACAGATGCAGGTCACAGGGCCCATTCACCATAAAGTCAATGCGCCTACCCTCGCGGCTCCCCGGTTTGAGGGTGGTCTCAACGCTGGTGGAGACATGCGTAGCACTCAGCGGCCGCAACGGCATCAAGGTTACACCCGAATCACCGGGGTATATGGAGATACTGAACTTACCATAGCTGCCACGCTTCATTGTATACGGGATGAGGAGGCACGTAGACGTCGGTGGCACTTCCATTCGTGTGCATACCTCTCTTGTGTCTAACATAATGCCTTTCTGAATAAACTTATGTGTTGTATTCGTCACTGCCCCGCTAGGGATCGCCGCTTCTGTATCTTGTTCTAACAAAGCTAATCCCGTTTGGTGATAGTGCCCCACGTTATCTGCATCGTAGAAGACAGGCGCTTGGTGACGCAGCTCTGCCAGGATCGTCGCCGGACGTGCCGACTTATTCTCCACCAAATATATCGGGTTGTTGCGGAATGTGGTAAACTTCGGGTTGCCTCCGCAGAAGCCCTTACTCCACTCGCCCACAGCAGTCAATCGGTCACCACAGTTAATATGGCACCGCTGCATACTCGAGAAGTTTCGCAAAAACACAGGCTGAGGAAGGTACAAATACTCTTCTTGCGCCGCATCGAAGTCGCAGATACTCCTAAGCTCCGCCGTCCAATTGGGATCTTGTTGGTTGAGTGGCCCGGTGTAAAGCGGCTCATCATAGTAACAGTTGTGCAGCTTGATCACAATATCGGAAGGATCATTAGACTCCTTCACAGTATGAATGACTCCCATGAGAGCATAACTGCATTGCGGGTGGATGCCATCCGGCACATCTTTGTTAGACATGCATGTTATAATATCACCCTTTGCAAGATCAGCTTCGATACCCCTCCAATACCTGGCCGCCCTGAAGTCTCCCATCTTTATTCCTTCAGAACGTTTGTCTTCCAAAGGAAGGTGAGACACCGGCCGGCCCGTCAGATCCCGCAGGGTCTCATGGGGCGTGCATTGATCCAGCCTGGCGTAACCTCCGACAAACTTGGCGTACGCCTTTTCAAGCAGCAGCGGGTACCACGAGCGACGCGGCACCTGCGTAAACTTCGGCTCCATGTTCGCGTCGCAAGGAACACGGTCATCAATGTCGACACGCACCGGGTTACTGTTGGGGTCGAAGAATGTGAAGACATAAGGCCCGTTTATTGGGTGCACTTTTGACTCGAACAGACGGTGAAGCAGCGGGGGGTGCCGGCTTAATGCCGCAATAAAAGGCGTTAGATACCCAAACTCGCGTGGAGCCGACACAACTTCAGACGGCAGCGTCCGCTCCGGCACCACTGCCTCGCGAATGCCCTCCGGGTACAGCTCACAGATGCGCGGCCACTTCTCAGCAGCATTTTTGTTAGTCTCGTGAAATGGGGCATCCTCCCAGTTGCTAGCGGCCAGAGCGAGATCGCGAACACGAGCCCTAATCTTTTCCTCAATATCGTGAATCGCCTTATCATTCCTTGGAGTGGTCCGAAGTAGCTTTCGATGTTCCGCCTCCATATCGTGAAGCACAGGATCGGTGTTAAGAGGCAAGCGTTCCAGTGGAATCCCTTCAGGATTAGGATCAAGAAATGCACGTTCCTTTTCAAGAAGAAGCTTAGCCAACTCATCAGCGCGATCATTAAGCTTTTTCTCCAACTCCCCAATTCTTTCTGCGTTCCTTTCCGGATCCTCCTTCAGTTTCCGTCGCGCAAGCTCCATTTCATTAAACAGCGGATCGTCAAGAGGCAGTTCAGAGAGCGGAACACCCTGTGGCTCTGGGTTAAGGAAGCCACGGTCGTTCAACAACATCTCACGGGCAATATCATGCACACGATTATTCATCGCATACTGCTGATCTTTAATAGCCTCAGCGTTCAGTTCCGGATTCTTTTTAAGATTGCGAAGCACCCTTTCCATCTCACAGAACATCGGATCTTCATCGAGAGGCACCTCATTAAGTGGAATGCCCTCCGGGTTCTGGTCGAGAAAAGCACGCTCATTTTCACGGAAATCTGCCGCCAATTCGTCCACACGAGCAGCAATAGCACGCTGAAGTTCGGCAACCTCAACAGAGACCGTGTCAGGAACAACTTTACTTTGCGCTCGAAGCTCGCGTTCAAGAGAATTAAGAACAGAATCATCGTTAAGCGGAATAATCTCCAACGGAACACCCCTAGGATTCTGATCTAAAAACCTCCGCTCCTCCTTAAGTAATTCCCTCGCCAGCTCGTGTGCACGGTCATTCATTCCCTTCCCTAGGGAAGAGATCTTCGGTGCATTCTTGCGTGGGTCCTGTTCAATCAGCTTCTTGCGCTCCTCCTCCATCGCCATGAACTTCTCGTCCTCGTCGAGCGGCAGCTCGCTGAGCGGCACACCCTCCGGGTTCTGGTCCAG